AAAAGTGAAAATGAAATAAAGTTTGTGCAAAATTTTTTTTTGGGTGTCACAACGAAATTTACATAAAAAATTTCTACTATATTTAAAATTCGATATGAATATCCATGTACACGAGAGGTAAATTGCTAAGGGCATTGCGGTGTACGAATTAATAATTAATTGGAACATTACTGGGCATTACTGGGCATTACTAAGGCGCATTAATGGGCATTATTAGGGCATTAGGAAGTATAAAAACTGGGCATTATTTGAGCATATGCATTACTGAGCATTAGTAGGCATTGATATACACAATTTTGGTCAGTGATTTACCCTTCGTTCAGACATTTATTACAGAAGAGTATCAAATATATTAGATGGAATCTATTATATATTTTTTTCATTTCAAATTACTGAAATGTGAAATAATTGAAAAAATCTATACGGTACTTTAGTATTTTATTCGCTTTTCTCGATTTCGCTATTGTCTTGACAGTGTGGAAATCATTTCTCTCGCGACGCGGCCGCTAAGCCGAATAAGCGGGATACCGGGACGAGTATTTGCGATCGAGCACTGCATTATTATTCCATGAATTTCAATGCAAAAACGCGGACAGCTTTAACGCGGACGGAAAAGACGCTGGGTGACGCAACGCGACACGACCCACGGAAAGTCGGCATAATCCGCAATTTCGCCCGGTTCGCCGCACTAAGATTTTCTCTTTTGGGGAACAGGAAGCTTCCGACGGCTTAATTTTAACGCCCCTGGGAATGACACCACGTGCCCGCGATGCCGCAGTCAGGTTGCTCGTCTTTGGGTGTGCGGTACCGTGTCCCCGCATTTGCCTTGGAGACCGACACTCGCATTCTTTTTCTCTTAAGAGAAAAACTTCTCTCCAGCCTCAAAATTATTTCTTTCGACTTCATCCTTTGCGTAAAAAAGAGAAAAAGTTCTTTTCGTTCATTTTTAAAACGCACATCAATGCAAGCGACTCGGTCATCTTTTAAATGGACTGAGCTATGGAAACTCCAGACAGCAATGAAAATTGTAGAAAATTATTATTTGTAATAAACATTACTTTTTGTAAAAATAGAATATCTATATAATAAGATAAGTGTGTTACTTAAATTTGATTATAATAATTGAAAAATTATTGGCAATGAAACATTATTGTCTGTTTATTAAATGTACTTTAAATACTGCAGTATATTTTTTATAATGCATGCTGAACGAAATGGAAAATCATATTTATAATTAAAATCCATCATAGAAGGAAGAAGTGAAGGAAACTTCAACGAAGGTTCACAAGAAATTCAATCTTTATTTCTGAATTGATTTTAACTATTTATGTGATCTGTCTCTTTATGAAAAAGAGAAAGAGACAATGAGGAAAGAAGAGGAAAGAAGAGGAAGGAAGGGAATAGGAAAAGAGAGACATATTCTTGCCAAATATAATTGAATTGAAATTATATTTATAAAAAATTCTTGTGGAATTAAAGTATAATTTAATTTCTTTATACAAATTCGCGTGAAAATATGCATCTATAAATAAATGGCTTTTTCATAAGATAATTATATAGATATACATTTGGGTAATTAAATAAAGAAATATTTCTGAACGATACATATGAATTAAAAACAGCGATTTTCAAATATAAAGTCTCAATATTATTCCAAGGTGTAATTAATATAATTTATTATTCGTCAATTTATTGCTTACTTATCCTAATGAGGTCCAGTTTAAAAAAAAAAATTAAATAAATTAAAATTCACTTTAAAAAGTTATTTTTATTATATGGGATGACATTTCGTCTTTTTCTACAAGAAACTTTAAAAATTAATTTCTCAGTTTAGATTTAGAGTATTTATATGGAAATTGTCCACGTAAATTAGCTGCTGTATTTATTCATCAC